GAGGGCTCCTTATGCAGGGGGGTTCTTGCCTAGAGAAGGAAGAGACTTGGCTGAGGGTATACAGCTGCTCAGCCGCAGAGCCGGGCTCTTGATGTCTCATTAGGGGAAGCGGCTGGACAGGGCAGCAGCGGCCTGCGTAATGGAGGTCACATTTCATGAGGCAGCGCAGCCCGGCATTAGTTTCTCCGGGCTGCCCCTGTACCAGCCATGAGAATTGGGAAAAGTCTTCAACTTCTCTACACCTCCGTTTCCTCATTTTTAAATAGGGAATCAAAGGAGCCAACACTTAGGAAGCCCTTAGTGGATGCTGGCCACATAATAAGTGCTCAGTATATGTCAGATCTGTTCATTATTATCTGAGTCCAGAAGCCACGATGGGCTGCTTGTAGGGACAAGGAGAAGCACCACAAAAAGAGCTGACTGTGCACCAGGCTCTGTGCCACCTCTCTGAGTTGTGAATGTCTTTGGGAAGCTTCTAGGCCCCGGGTGAGGGCTGCTCATCAGTTCTAAAGATGAGGGTTGGAAGTTTCAGAGGCCCGGAGGGTACAATTTGGCCCTGAAGCATCTCTCTCCAATGACACTTTACTGAAAATGGCTGTCACTGAGTCCCTCTGATGTGCCACATACTCTGATGAAGGGCACTGAGACATGGGAGTGGAAAATGAAATGGACTGATCTTCATCCTCGATAAAACCAGATGAATCATTAGAACTTTGATAAATCAGAGAGGCTCTTCAGCCCTATCATTCTTTTCTACCCTTTGAACGTAGGAAAGGTACACTGGGGCCCACTGTTTCCCACACCACCGGTTGGCCCACCAGGGCTACTGTAGACTGGCTTTACCACCAGCACTTCTGGGACCTTCTATGTGCCCATGCCTGTAAAGGACTGGGAAAAAGTCCTTACTTTGAGCCCATTCTATGATGGTGGACATGTCACCATATCTGGTATGATGATGGGTCCAGGCAGAAATGGAGACAAGCTGGGCAGTGCAGGCTCGATCAACAGCTTGATTCCTGTCAGTCTCATCAGAGAAAGGGCTCTTAGGACATCCACATAAGTGATCCAGACAGTTTAATTAGTAGTGATTTGTTTCCACAGTTAGCTGAAAACTTTGCCATCCAAAGCCCTCTATTGGGTGTCAGGGTTATTGCTGATATTATCTGTCTCACACGTGGGGACGCCTTGACTCAGTAACCACAGTCACATTGCTTTCCAGCTGGAGCTGCAAGGTTCACACCTTTTGCCTGACCTGGGCTTGAGTTGGTCAGTCTAAGTAGAGATTTGTCAATTTTGTTGACCTATTCAAAGAACTAACTTGTGAGTTAGTTGATTTTCTATGATCTTTATTATAGCCTGCCTTCTGCTGGCTTTGGGTTTAGTTTTTTCTTTTTCTAGTTTCTTAAGGTGGAAGTTTAGGTTATTGATTTGAGAACTTTTTCATTTATAATATAAGAATTTACAACTATAAGTTTCCCTCTAAGCACCGCTTTGAGTTTTTCTTTTAGATAATCTGCAAGTAATTTCTTATTTCTCGTGTGATTTTTTTCCACGACCCATTTGTTATTTAGGAGTATTTTGTCTAATTTCCACGTACTCATGAACTTACCAATTTTCCTTCTGTTATTGATTACTAATTTTATTCTGCTGTGGTCTGAGAACACAGTGTGTATGATTTCCACCTTTTAAAATTTATCCAGACTCGTTTTATGACCTAACATATGGTCTATCCTGGAGAACGTTCCAGTATCCTTGAGAAGAATATGAATCCTGCTGTTGTTGGGTGTCTAAGATGTCTGTCAGGACTCAGGCTTGACTTGCACAGCTGTGACTTCTTTTAAAGGAGACCACCTCGATAGAGAGCATTTCTGCCCCATTGTCATAATAACATCTCTTGATTTTACCTTGTTTTACTATAAGGGCTAGGAGAGTTTTCTAAGGCTCTGGAGCTGATCACAGGAATTGATCTAGATTTCTCTGGGTCGCTTTTATCAGCATTGTAAACCCAAACTAAGACAGCAAGAGCCCGAAGAGTAATCGATGCTTCATCTATGGTTTCCTGTGGGAGTTTGTCTGTCTCAAGGAAATCTCCCTGAGAGGGACAATGCTCCCCTATAGCATCCGGAACCCACTGGGGAAAAAAACAAACAAACAAACAAACAAAAAACCTGAGACCTTTTAATCTCATCTCAGAAAGGATATAAGGTTGCCATGACAGATGGTAGGAAGGGCTGAGCTGCAAGATGGCCCAGCTATTGCCATCCTTTCTTACCGAGCATCACATGCCTCATCTTCTAAGTGAACACCCGAAGTTCTAACCATTCATCTGGTTTTTGTCCATAGCGGTAGTGAATTTCCCTGCACTCAGGTTTAGTGCATGTGTGCGTCTCTGTAAATGCTGTCTAAATGGGGAAGGGGATACTTCTGTACTCCCAGGATGAGTCTTAGTACAGTGGTCAGACCTAGGGCTGACCGCCAGACTGTGAGGAGTTCCCCCTCCATCCCCGACCCCACCCAGAGGAGGGTTGGCGACAACCAGGGCAATGTCTGGCAGCTGACTTGGAACCTACTTCTTGGTACTCGACCTGCAACTGCCTCCCTCATTCCTCCTCGTGAACAGGAAATAAAGTTAAAAACCATGTATTGCTTGGTTGATTTTACAGTCTGGTTAACGTGCATGCTGCTGAGTCCCTTGGCCTTCCCTCAAAACCTGTTACCCTGCCCATGAGGTCGTCATCCTTCCTCTTATAGAAAACCATGTTTCTGTTGCCATCCCAGTTGTTGCCAAAATCGTCGAGAATGATGAAAGGTCTCTGATTTTACCCTGCTTTCGAACAAACTAGACTGACACAATTTCATGGATGTTGGCAGAAGACTCAAGATTTCTGGGTCAGAGACAAAGGACTTTGTTATTCGCAGCAGTAAGTATTATGAATGTGAGCATATTTGTGCCACTTCCCCTCACCCTCAAGTCTCATGAAGGCAATGCAGATGGACTCACATGGATATCCATACACAAGGTGAGTTGTGTTCACAAGAGAGGAACCTTGAGCTTAGGGCGCCCAGATATTCTCTAACGGACAGTGAGTTGCCTGTCCTTTGCTCTAGAGGGAGCCACTATCTCTGTTGTCCAAGGCTGTTCAGTATACAGACATCTTGGAAAGAAATAGTCCTTGTCTCTCACTAGCCCTGCATAAACTTGAGAGACTGGTAGAAAACTAACACCTCTCTCCTCATCTCTCACTAAATCCTCACAGCACCCCTGCTAAGTAGGTATAACTGGCTCTGTTTTGCAGATAAGGAATTAAAGTCCAAAGAAGTGAGATAAATTACTCCAGGTGATGCAGCCAGTAAGCCGCAGATGCAGGGGCAAACTCAGGCCTGCCTGATTCGAGGTCTGTGCTTTGTCCACTCTCCTGTGGCACTTGAGGCAGGGAGGGGTCCTGAGTGGAGAAAGGTGATGGGAACCCCCTTGAATAGTGGGAGAGGATGAATGCAGGGAGACTGGGAGATGAGAGGGCCTAGGGCCAGACTCGTAGGACCTTGCAGATCATAGTAAGGACTTCGGATTCTTGTCTAAAGGTGATGAGGATTTGCCAGAGGGTTTTAAGCAAAAGAGTGACATGATCCAATTTGTGTTTTAAAAAAATTACTCCGTTTGCTGCTCTGTAAAACATGAACAACAGTAGTACCTACCCCATAAGTTTGTCATAAGTAGTAAGTGAAAGGGATTAAATGGGAGGATAAGTATAAGGGTCTTGGTGCCAGGCAGAACAGGCTGTTGAGTGGATATTGGCCATGATGATGACACAGAAAAGTGCATTGAAGAATTCAGGGTGAGGCTGGGAGCAGAAGACAGCAAGGACCAGGAGGGTCTGTGCATACAGGCTAGAGTTCAAGAGACCATCTAGTTAGCTTGGCAGAACTGACCTGGGGTTAGGTCTTGAGACAGGTACACTGCTGCCCAAGAGCCTGCTGGTAGATGGAGAGAGTGAAGAGGGGCACAAGGTTCTCCAAGTAAGCAGGAGGCAGCAGGGGCTAAAAAAATGACAGTTCTAGAGAGTCTAGGTAGGAGGAAGATGGGGCCAAGAGGAGGGCACTAAATCTTCAGGTAAGATTGCAGAAGCATGTGCTGTCTAATCAAAGGAGGAGGCTGCTGATGAGATTGTGGGGGTCCAAGTTCTAACTCTTTCTCCACTGCCCTGGTGGTGTACAGCCTTGAGGTACTGCAGGCTGCACATCTGGGGACCACTGCCTGCTCCATCTGGCCTCTCTAGATCTAATAAGGGAGAGGATGTGTATGGAAAATAACGCAGAAGAGAAAAAACATCACCAAGATCAGTGTTAGGGAACACTAGTAATTTTAACAGCAACCCACCTAAGAAAAGCATAATGGTCACAGGAATGTGTAATAAGCCCCTCACTCCCTCTCTCCCGCACGCATTACTCAGCTGCGGCTGCTACCTGAACTGTGCGTGCACTGTAAAATGCATTTTAGTCAGCAGGCTTTCTGAGGGTTTAACTTCAAAAAATTAGGGGCCGACTTTGCATCAGTCCCAGGCAGGGGATGGGCAGATGTGGACACCCAAAATGCAAATATGCTGAAAGGTACAGAAAGCCAAGACAGTTCCCGCCTGGCCTGCCTTGCGGGGTGAAGTGAGAAGTAGAGGTCTGAAAAGGTTCCACGCAAGCGCAAGGGGCCATTTGTTTTTATCAAGAGTGGTGGTGTGATGACTCCACTGCCCTGCCTGTCCCTGGTCCGGCCTGTGCAAAAAGGGAAACCCCAGGGGCGGCGGAGGCCAGCGGAGATCTCTTGAGCCAAGCGGCCCCCTTCATCCGCGGCGGGCAGGAAGGGCGACCCTGCGCGTCACTTCCGGGTCCTACAACGTGAGCGGAGTTACCACGGAGACGTCTCTCCTGAGGCCCCGCCAATCCAAAGTTTCCGTGCAGTGGGCTCCCGCTGCGGGGCGCGAACCGCGCAGGGTCGAGTCTGCAGCAGACACGCCCCACTCTGGGCATCGCAACGTCCGAGGAGTACTCGGTGCGTCATTTCCACCTTCTTTCTCTGCCCAACATGGAAGGGGCGGAGCCGGCGCTCTATCAGTGCGTCACTTCCGGTGAGCCTAGCGGCGACAACGGCAACATGGCTATGAACGGCGCTGGTGAGGATTTGAGTGGCGGGGGCCTGCGGCTGTGGGGTGCGGGAGGCAGCCTTCTTCGGCAAGACCCCCCGGCCCCTTATGCCTCTCTTCTTCCAGAAGTTGACGATTTCTCTTGGGAGCCTCCTACCGAAGCGGAAACGAAGGTGCTGCAAGCGCGACGGGAGCGGCAGGATCGCATCTCCCGGCTCATGGGCGACTACTTGCTGCGTGGTTACCGCATGCTGGGCGAGACGTGCGCGGACTGCGGGGTGAGGAGAGACTCGGGACGTGGGATCAAGGATGGGTCCCAGGACTAGGCCACACGGCCTTCCCCAACTTTCCTCTCTGGACCCTATTGCTCAGCGTCTCACTCCTGCCTCTTGTGTTTTCTGCCTCCTAGACGATCCTCCTCCAAGACAAACAGCGGAAAATCTACTGCGTGGCTTGTCAGGAGCTCGACTCAGATGTGGATAAAGATAATCCCGGTGAGGGGCTTGGTGGAGAAACGAGGTGATAGAGGCCTGGGAACAGTAGGTCTGGGAAGTGACTGTGGAGTCTGTGGGCGGGCTAGAGGTAAGGTGCTTTCTCTTTTCAGCTCTAAAGAGGAGCATTCATTCAGTAAGAGCACTGAGCACCTCCTCTGTGCCAGATACTATGGAGAGTGAATTCAATCAGGCATAGTCCTGATGGGAGAGATGAATCGAGGGCATAAGTAAATCTGATACAAAGAGGACAGTGAATGAGTTGCCCTATAAGAGTGGCATCTCAAGCACAGAAAGCAGAGCAGTAGAGTGAGGAGGTGGCCCAGGGCTGAGGTGGGCCAGGCATCCTGACCATTCCACCCTTTTTTTCCTCTTTTAGCCCTGAATGCCCAGGCTGCCCTCTCCCAAGCTCGGGAGCACCAGCTCGCCTCTGCCTCAGAGCTCCCCTCAGGCTCTCGGCCCACCCCTCAGCCCCCAGTACCCCGTCCAGAGCACTGTGAGGGAGCTGCAGCAGGGCTCAAGGCAGCCCAGGTGCCGCCCCCTCCTGCAGTGCCTCCAAATACAGATGTCCTGGCCTGCACACAGGAGGCCCTCCTGCAGAAGCTGACCTGGGCCTCAGATGAACTGGGCTCTAGCACCTCCCTGGAGACTAGTATCCAGCTGTGTAGCCTCATCCGAGCTTGTGCTGAGGCCCTGCGCAGCCTGCAGCAGCTGCAACAGTAAGAGACCCTCTCCTGAGAAAAACCCTCTAGAAAAACAGCTGTTCCTCTTGTGTGGTTTGTTCTTTTCTTGGTTCTGAGTGTGCATGCCAGCCCCAGCTCCACTCTCCTTTTTCCTGTGTTTGGCATCTTTCCCTCTCACTATCTGCTCCTTGATGCCCTGAGAGATGAGTTGGTCTTGTTTCTGCTCAGTTTCCCCACTCAGAGGATGAGGGGGAGGGAGAGGACTATGGGATATTTGCTGCCTGGAAGGCAAGAACAAGTGGGATGGACCTATGCAGCACCCCTGCAGCACCCCTGCAGCACCCCTGCAGTTATCCAGTGCTCATTCCCTTGAGTGAGATTGGGATTTCAGTCTCCTCGGTAGCTTCCCCTTCCCTGAAGCATCCTGACGCCATCATCGTTTCCCATTTCACGCCCAGCCCAGGTACTCGGACACTGTCAGGGTGTCAGGTTGCACATTAAGGACCAAGTATGGATTTACTCCGGTCTCCTGACCTCCAGTTTTAGATTCTTTTCCTTGGTTGCTATAATTGGGCAGAATAATTAAACAGAGTGCTGGGGGAGCATGAAAAACTGTGAATGAACCATGCTCGCCGCTTTGGGCTTCCTTCCCCTCTTTTACCGTTTCCCTTCTGTCTGCCCCATTCCCCTTACTCACTTTCCACGACTTGGGGCGATTTGGTCCCACAGCCGTTGCCCTTTTAAGAGAGGTCCCGCCCATACGGGGGTGGGGCAAGGGCGGAGTCGGAGGCGTCCGGGAAGGAACAAAGCGCGGCCTGCGGGCCCCGGCTGGGTTCCATCCGAGCAGCTGCGGGGTTCGGGGCCTGCGGGCGGCATCCAGGGCGAAGCGTTAGAGGGTAGGAGGCGGCATCGTCGTCCGCGCCAGCCGGGCCATGAATGGGCTGCCCTCGGCCGAGGCGCCAGGCGGCGCAGGCTGCACCCTGGCCGGGCTCCCGCCGCTACCGCGCGGTCTCAGCGGTCTCCTTAACGCGAGCGGGGGTTCGTGGCGGGAGCTGGAGCGCGTCTACAGCCAGCGTAGCCGTATCCACGACGAGTTGAGCCGTG